GTGCCCAGCCCCAAAGAATTTTAACATTACTCATTTGTCATGATATTCAACAATACCCATATTCCCATGTCAGTGTGGACCTTTACCAGAGATAAAATTTTAATCTGACAGTGTGGTGCTATTTTGATTTTTTTAAAAACTGAAATTCGGCCAGACGCGGTGGCTCACGCCTGTAATCCAAACACTTTGGAGGCCAAGGTGGGCAGATCACCTGAGGTCAGGAGTTCAAGACCAGCCTGACCAACATGGTGAAACCCCATCTTTTTTTAATATTAAAGAATAATAATAAAATTTAAAAAAAAACAAATTCAGACTGGGCACGGTGGCCCTTTGGAAAGCCGAGGTAGGTGGATTGCCTGATGTTGGGAATTCACCACCACCCTGGCCAACATGGTGAAATACAGTCTTTACTACAATACAAAAGAGAAGATCAGCTGGGCGCTGATTGTGTGCACCTGTAGTCCCAGCTACTTGGGACTGAGGCACAAGACTTGGTTGAACCTGGGAGGTGGATTTTGAAGTGAGCCAAGATCGCACCACTGCATTCCAGCCTGAGAGACAAAGAAAAAAAAAAAAAAAAAAAAAAAAAAAAAAAAAAAAAAAAAAAAAAAAAAAAAAAAAAAAAAACCTGAAAATGAGCCACACAGTGGCTCTCTTATGTAATCCCAACACTGGAAGGTTAAGGCAGGTAGATCACTTGAGCCCAGGAGTTTGAGACCAGCCTGTGAGACCAGGTCTCTATTAAGAATAAAAAATTATGTATTTTTAAAATTAAAAAAACTGAAATTATGTTAACAGTATTTTAAAGAACATATGCCCACATTCATTCCAACATTCTCTTATCAAGCAAGATCACTAGAGTAAAAAGCTATCCTTTCACTTACAGTAAAATTCCTTTTAAGGAGTTGTCTATAAAAACAGGTATGATTGCTGGGGAATAGAGTGAAGGAAAAGTGGCTGAAGACAAAGGTGCATTTCAGAGCTTTGTGAACTATTTCTATCTTGATTATAGTGATGGCTATAGGACTATGCATTTTGTAGATCAAATCTGATATAGGAATTGTACACCCAAGAGTGAATTTTACTGTATGTTTTCTATCCTCTCATTTCTATCTTCCCATTCACTTTACCTTTGTCAGAGGTCACCAATGACACTGCTAATTCAAAACGACATCTTCTAAATTCTTATATTACTTGAACTATTAATGACATGTGACAAGTTCATTCACTTCTCTACTCTTTTGATATATATTCACACAGCTTCCAGGATACTTCATGCTTCTGAGTTTTGTCCTACTTTTTCCATTTTGGCATTTTCAATGTTCTTTGCTTATTTTTTCCTGTCCCATTCTTTAAAGGTCACAGTACTCCCAAAATCTCATTTTATGTTTCCACTCATCCAGTATTGTGGTTTTTTATAAGCTTTAAAGCAGATGACTCCCTTGGAATCATATAAACAACTGCTTTACCTCTTTCCAAGTGGATCAGCTTTAACATGGCTACAACTGATCTACGATATTCGCTCCTTACCCTAGCTCCTGCCAATCAGTGTCACTGTAAATTCCATGATTCCAGTTGTCTGGCACAAAAAGGTTGGCTACATTTTTGATTCCTCTTCTCAGGGATCACATTATAAGCAAATTTCTCACCATCACCTTCAATATCCATCTACGGTACTTTTAATCACTCCCATTGTCATCTCTCCCTGGTCCCACCAAAAATGACTGCTTGTCTGAATAAATCTGTCACCCATTATCTACTCTCAGTAAGAGTGATCTCATTCCTCTTCGAATAGCTTCCCATCTCATTCAAAGTAAAAGCTAAAGACTATGCCTTATGCTTCACGTGTCTTAAACACACCCTTTTCTCTGAGGCCAACTTTTTCTTTACTTTTTGAGATGAAGTTTCACTCTTGTTGCCCAAGCTGGAATACAGTGGCGCGATCTCAGCTCACTGCAACTTCTGCCCCCCGGATTCAAGCAATTCTCCCGCCTCAGCCTCCCAAGTAGCTGGGATTGCAGGCCCGTGTCACCACAACCGGCTAATTTTTTGTATTTTTAATAGACACGAGGTTTCACCATGCTAGCCAGGCTGGTTTCGAACTTCTGACCTCTGATGATCCACCCAACGCAGGATTCCAAAGCGCTGGGATTACAGGCGTGAGCCACTGCGCCTGGCCTCTATTTCTTATCATACTATTCCTGCTATGTATAATATCTCACAGCAGATCATAACCAGTATTTGTTGAGTAAATCAATGATGTTCCCAACTGGCTTCTAGGAAATAACTGTCCATAAACTACACAATCAACAATGTGTAACAAACCAAATTATCTACAAAATAGCTTAAAAGCCAGAGGATTGGTGTTTTGATTTTCTAGCTTGATAAACACAAATGCAAAGGATTTCCCAAAAAAAATCAGATAGAAATTGAATATCATACTTTACCAAAAACTTAAATCTATTTTCAAGAAAGATTCAACTATTGGCCAGGCCCAGTGGCTAATGCTTGTAATCCCAGCACTTTGGGAGGCTGAGGCAGGCAGATCACTTGACTTAAGATCAGGGGTTCGAGATCAGCCTAGGCAACATGATAAATCCCCATCTCTACGGGAACTACAGAAAATTAGCCAGGCGTGATGGCGTGCCTATATTGCCAGCTGCTCAGGAGGCTGAGGTAGGAGGAATCCCTTGAACCCAGGAGGAAAACGGTGCAATGAGTCAATATTATCCCACTGCACTCTTGCCTGGGCAACAGAGTCAGATACTGTCTCAAAAAAAAAAAAAAACACAAAAAAAATCCAGCTGTGCCCATGATGAATGTGCATTTGGAGCTGCTATCGCATGCTTGCTGTTAAGGAAATCACAAACAAAAATGTATTTCTACAGATGACTTTCTCCTGTTTACTCTTCCAACATTTTAAGATTTGCTCTAAAACTGAAAAGTCTGGGTTATTTCCTTCCTGTAAAGTAGGCTTTAAGTCATTACATTTCTTATACCTTATGCAACTCTAGACTTATTCTACCCAGTAAAACTGATTTTTGTAGCGTTCTAGATCTGCAACTATCCCCAGTCCAAGGCACTAGTCACATATGGCTACTGCACTTACCATGAAAGTTCTATTTAACAGCACCGTTCTAGTCTGTTGTCTCCACAGACATCCATTTACCGCTTATAAACAATTTCCAGAGTCCAGTATTCTATAATTTACTCAGTATATTAAAAACCCATAATTCTTAAAAATTCTGCTAAACAGCCTTAGAACAAATTAAGTTACATATCTCTTATACCAGGATGGTAAAATTTTAAGAAACCGTTAAAAATTTTAAAGTCACTATCAGATGTTGTACCCAGAGTCTTGTTTCCAGAATATATAATGAATTTTACAACAAAACAACCTAATATAAAAATGGACAAAGAATCTGAATACATTTGTGGAAGAGTAAACAAATGACTGGAAAGCACATGGAAAGACATTCAATATTTTTAAAGAAAATGTAATTAAAACCTGACTGAGATCCCGCTACACTCTCACTAGACTAGAATGCATAAAAGCAAAATACAGGTATGAACATAAGTGGACGAACTGGAAACTTCCACGATTGTTGGTAATATAAATGGGTACAGCTGGCCAGGCGCAGTGGCTCGGTGGTGGCACACACCTATAGTCCCAGATACTCGGGAGGCTGAGGCAGGAGAATTACTTGAACCCAGGAGGCGGAGGCTGCAGTGAGCAGATATCGCACCATTGCACTCCAGCCTGTGTAATAAGAGCTAAACTCCATCTCAAAAAAAAAAAAAAAAAGGTACAGCCACTTTTGGTGAACAGTTTCGCTGTTGGTAAGGTTGGTAATATTTACCGCCATACAACCCAGCAATTCTCCTAGATATATATGCAAAAGAAATGAAAACATGACCATACAAAAATTTGCATACCAATCTTCATAGCATTTTTAACATGTAGAAAAAACTCTAATGTGCATCTACTAATGAATAAACAAAATGTATTATCCATAAAATGAAAAAAAGTATTGATACATGGTACAACATAGATGAACCTTCAAAATATTCTAAGTGGACAAAGCCAGTCACAATACATATATGATTCCATTTGTATGAATGCCCAAAATATCTGTACAGAATTTATTTTTAGCGTGACAGAATGATCTAAAATTAGATCATGATCCTAATCGCAAAACTCTGAATTTTACTGATTTAAACTGAACACTTTAAATGGATGAATTATATAGAATATTAAATCTCAATAAAGCTAAATTAAGGAAAGAAAAAATGCCAAGGAGGCTGACGAAATCAACCTGAAGAATGGTCTCAAGTAGATTCGTAAAACACCACAAGATACTTTAAGTCTTAGGTAAAAATGAAATCAGACCGCCACTCAATTCTGAGTCATAGAGCAGACTGATCCAGGCTTCTGCTTCTCCTACAAGTATCTCCCACCTACTCAACGAGTCCAGGACACAGTGAGAAACTAAAAGAAATACTAAGAAATAAATATTATTTAAGTCCAGCAAGGCGCAAGTGGCTCACACCTATACTCCCACCACAGAATTTCTCCCAACCTCCTCTCCATTTTAACATTTACAATGTTAAACTATCTTTTTTTCTCCAGTTTCCCTTTTCTAGCCAAAGGGCTGTTTCAAAAATATCATTTATACGACACAATTCCTGAACATGTCATACAAGGCCCTTTACAACCATCACTTACAATTTTCTATTACAGCTAGCTGCTCCCCAAGCACATCAGGCCCTTCACAACTCAATCTTTGTTCATGTATTGTCTTTGACCTGTGAGTTCTTGATGTATTTATCTATTTCTAAGCCACTGACACAGTGACATATGTATTTAGCTATGGAGTAGTAACGGCACTCTGAAACCTCTAATGAAAGGATTTCATACTCCAGTCACTTATATACTTTTTTTTAGTAGAAAGCCTGTCTTTACTAAAAACACAAAATTAGCCGGGCGTAGTGGCACATGCCTGTAATCCCAGCTACTCGGGAGGCTGAGGCAGGAGAATCGCTTGAACCTGGGAAAAAAAAAAAATCTGAGAAAATCACAAATGTCAAGTGAAGAAACCATTTGATGATGCATTAAGGATACTCAACTATACCATCTTAATATGGCATTCCAGGCCCTTTACAATGTAGATCAAAATTCTTTTTCTGGACTTATTCTTGTAGCCTTTTAATGACTAGCTACCATATTCTATAAGGTATTTCTCAAACACAGAATGTATACTTTCATGTCTGACACTTTCAGTGTATACTTTACAGTATTTAACAGCTGACTTGATTCCTTTACACAACTCCCATGCATGACTGATTAACTCAATTCAAATGTTATATTCCCCAATAATTTTTATTCCAACAATCAATAACTTTAATTCCAAAATCAAGAGACTGAATTGTCATATACAGTAATAACATTAAAATACTAATGACTGGAATACTGGCATTCTAAGACAAACAGTAGTACCATGTTTCATATACATAAAGTACTATGCTTTACATATTGCATTTTAAAAGTGTATTGCGTACAACAGTTTGCTCCATACACTTACACATACTGGATCAGTTTAAAAATGACAATCCAAGTAACTAACAGTTCTGTCAATGTTAACTGAGACTGACGTATCAGAATGTCAGTGTGGTAACTCTTTAGCACATCATTCTATTTCCTGGTATTTGCTATCAGTTCTAAATCTATCACTCAAAGCCACCCATAACCCAGTTCCTATTCACACAGCTTTCAAATGCATTTCTTATGACTCTCTAAAAAATACTAATGTGTTCTGAAGGCACACATCATAATCATTACTCCAATCTCTTTTTTTTTTTTTTTTTAAGAACTCTATCACCTCCATCCCTACAACTACTATTGTACAATCTACTGTACAAATCAACACTAACTTCTTATTAACTCCTAAAGCAACTAGCATGGTACTATTGTCTCCTATTTTGTATACCTGGGAAGAAAGACTATAGGATTCCTTTTTTTTTGGGGGGGGGGGGGGGGGGGGGGGCCGGGGGTTCCCTACAGACTAGCATGTGAGACTACAGGATTTTTTAGGCGAGTAATTTTTTTTTTTTTTTAGTTTCACTCTTGTTGCCCAAGCTGATCTAGGCTCACTGCAACCTCCGCCTCCTGGGTTCAGGCAATTCTCCTGCCTCAGCCTCCTGAGTAGCTGGGATTACAGGCACGCGCCACCATGCCCAGCTAATATTTTGTAGTTTTAGTAGAGACGGGGTTTCACCATGTTGACCAGGATGGTCTCGATCTCTTGACCTCGTGATCCACCCGTCTTGGCCTCCCAAAGTGCTGGGATTACAGGCGTAAGCCACCACGCCCGGCGGAAATAATACACTCTTATGGCACTACCACTGCATATGCAATCTCGCACTGATAGAAACATTATGTGATGCACAAGCAATAGGAAAATAATGAAGAGGACATGGATCAGCTGGTAAGCCAGAGAGTCCTTACTTTTAAGACTGACTCATCTCAAGCAGGAAGGTGAAAATAAGTGATCCAGAAAACCTATACCTCCTGACATTATGAAATCATACATTAACACCACTATCACCCTACCTAATAATCTCCTTAATCATTTAGAAACAGGTACTTTTTGTTTTGGAGGAAAGGGAAGATGTTTGAAAACATCCTTGATGTTCATCACCACAAACTAGAAAAACAAAATGATTCTCACTAAATAGCTGTTCAGTAGAATGACAAAACACTTAACATACCTATCATAATAATCCCGTTGAAAGTCATAGTCCAAGTCAAAAGAGGAGCTGAAAAATAAATACCAAAGAGGGTTAATTTGGAAATGTTGCTACTAATTCGTAACAGTAGGTGAGGGGAGAACCATGCCAAATAAACCACAACAAATAGATCAACAAGGTTAGCACTGCATGATCCCCAATATTCATAAAATAAATCACTCAATTCCAATCACCTTTGACCACTAGACATGTAGTGGTCAAACTGGTAATTCAGGTTAAAATTCACTAAGATTTCCACATACAACATAGCTAAAATAAGAACACTGAAAAACAGAATGGTTAACTAAATATCCTTATACCACTCCCTTCTTCCCTTTCTTCTCTCTAGTGTTGAGATCAACAATTCCATAGAAGTATTTTAGGTTATGCTATAAATATCAAACTATTCTTAAATATTAATAGCAAAAACTTCAGGGATTTTTAATTCTCTAGAAATTTTTCCTAGGGCAAAAAAAGAGACTATTAATGCAAAAATAATAAAACCTTATTTATACACAAATAAAACACAGTACACTTAACCCTCCCAACCTCCAGAAAACAGATAGAGAAGATGCCCACTGATGGACACAATGCAGTTATAAATAATAAAGTTCCGGACCTGAGTAGAGGGGACGGAGAAGGGTGTTCTGTTACTGACCCGTACATCTCCGCTGCAGATCGTTTCACACCTGCTTTTCCTCGGTTCACTTTTGGCTCTGCAGCCAGGTTAATATCTAAAACCTGGCCAGCAATCATTCTGCCATCCTCTCCTGCTACAGCAGCCCGGGCATTTCTCTCATTAACATATTGAACGAAGGCAAAGCCCTTATGAACAGAGCAGCCCACAATTTTGCCATACTTCGAAAAGATTGCCTCCACATCAGATTTCTTGACCACGAGTGTGTTTAGATTCCCAATGAACACACGGGAGTTCATGGAGCGAGGATCTGTCTTGTTGGTAACGTTGCTGGCCATTGTGTTTGATGATAAGGTTTCTCACAAAGCCGAAAACTGTAAAGGAAAAAAAAAAAAAAAAAAAAAAATCAGGTGAACAGATGCTAAAAATAATATTCCTTGATAAAAACTTCTGCACTCTCTCTGAACCACTGTTCAGTTAACTGCCCAGAGTATCAGGCAACTTAAAGGGACTCACAGTATTAAATATGTATTTACTAATAAATTCAGAGCCTCCATCCTCTGAATATACTCTTACGAAAATTCAACTTCTTCCTCTTAATTCTATTTCAGCATCACTAAACTATAAAGTCTCAGGAGAAAAAAATTCTCCCTTGCAGATCATTGGCAATATAATTTCCTTGGACATAATTAATTCCATGTGGCTTCCTCTAAGTCCTCAATCAAATTAGAATTGCCTACATTCTCTGATACCAATTTCTGCTGTTTTGCACATTATAGGTCATGCTATCACCTGCCATCAATAATAACTCTATCTTCATTCGCATTACTTTTAGTGAGTTTCACCGGTTCTGTATATATTCACACAGTACGTCAAATTCTGTGCCAAGCCATTCATTAGCTAGATTAGTATGGATAGCTTATTACACTTACCCATGAAGTATAATTTTCTTCAAAAGGCAATAAATAGGATCAATTTGTTTCCACTAGAAATACCTATTTCCACGTACTTCAATTAATTTGCAATATGCTTTAGATGCGTACATATGCATACCATCTTTTTACAGACTGCAATGACTCCAAGCCTACTTTTTATATAACCTAAAACACAGGACATTTAATAATATCGGATGGTGATGATGATAAAACGTGCCAGTGGAACACGGCATGAATCAAGTAAGGATCAGGGGAACTAAAGAAATATACAAAACTTTCCACAGATTTAAAACCAAAAATTATCTGTCTTTATGTATGTGATGGAGGCTCAAACCTATAATAATAATGTGGAGAGTCACAATACCATCTCAGGTCCTGTATAAGCAAAAATGTTTTATTTCACATTCTTTTAGCATTTTGTCTTCTGCCTCTTCCCAATCCAATCCCCAATTGTTAACAAGATTTAAAAACACATTCTTAAGATTAATTACCCCTTCAACCCTTTGAAAGGTACTGATGAATCTTAAGATTCCAGCATGTTATCCTCCAATCCTCAAGTGAATCATGACAAACTAGTTCTCATGGATGAAGTGAAAATAAAAACGTCTAGTATGTATACATATAAGTACATAAAAACACAGGTAGTATAACACCATTTCATTTATACACAAGTCCTACCATTCTGATGCTTAATACAGTCATTTAACAGGCTACTTAAAAGCTCAAACTTTACTTCCTTCCAAACCTTTCTGAAATTTAAAAGTCTGTTAGTTTCTAAAGTATACCTTTACAGAAAGTTATTAATATTTTAAGACTAAGCAATAAAAATTAACAAACAATTGCCATTGAAAACCACCAGCAGCCTTTCAGCTATTAAGTATGCCAGAAAGTCTGAGAACACTAAGAGGAAATAGAACAAAAATCTGCAAAAAGGCCTAACTGGTTTCAGATATTACTGCCAGTTTATTAACATTTGCCGGGCACAGTGGCTCATGCCTGTAATCCCAGCCCTTTGGGAGGCATAGGCGGGTGGATTGCTTGAGGTCAGGAGTTTGAGACCAGCCTGGCCAACATGGTGAAACTCCACCTCTAAAAAAATAAAAATAAAGAACAAAAAAAAAGATTTGCCATTATTACAACTAGAGGTATAATCCGGTTTTCAGAAATTATTTTTCACAAGCAACAGGTGTATCAATAGAAAATATCATCTCCATAGGTTTAATGAGAAGAAATTACCAGGGCTGAGGGTCTCTATAAGCTACCAGCATGCTAAACATAAAGGAGAAAACCCACCAAACCACAGATGTCCAATGTTTCAAATGGACATTTGCAAAAAATACAAATGTGACTGAAATACCCTTTTGAACAGAAACAGGTTTAAATGACCATCTTCTCAACTTTCACAGCCCAAGGCATTTTTCATGTGTATCAGAGCTTAATTCTCTAAATGATCCCCACATGAAAAGTTCGGTAGAAAAGCATCCACTAACATGAGTAAAAGGATGCTAGCAATGGTTGTCATCTCTGAGTTTAAAGATATGATTTCTCACTTTCCTTATGGTCTTATTTTTTAATTTGCTCCAAAATCATCAACTACTTATTTTAGAAATATACTAATCCCAACTTCAAAAGGCTGTCTAAAATTAGTAAGATAGCTGTAAATACCCATACTTAATTATGAGAATTTAAATTCAAGATGGAGGCAACAGTAAAGACAGATGTACTCACAAATACCGATTAATTCTACTCTTAGTAACGTATCCTCCTAAGACATGAACAGTCACTAAAACTAATTCATTTTTAGGGTCAAATATTTAATAATCATGTGCTGAGTACCACGTTTGGGGCAACTCCAGGGGACTAATAGTAACAAAGACTCTCCCCTTAGAGCTTCCTTTTTAATTCTAGTAATGTTGATTTTTAAAATTTTATGTAAGAGGTACATTTCCCAAAGTTTTAGAAATAACCAAATGATGTTAAGTCACACTTCATCCTAGGTACCTTAGATGAAATTTCCATAAAGAGATAATGTTAGCCCATACTGTTTAACACAAAAAAATCTACAGGAAAAGAACTGGGATTCTTGGAAGGAAGCAGCAACAGCAAAGCAGTTTTTCAATCTTTGATTTCCAACAGAAGACACCAAGATGGCAAAATCACTATCCTACAGACAGCATTTACAACAAAACTCCAAAATGCAAAACAGTAAAGGCAAGCTGATAGCCAGCATATATGGTTTCATTAACTACGGTGGGAGAAAAAAATAAATAAATAAGGAACTTGGAGAATATGAGTTAGAAATACCAGAATACCAAAATACCCCATAGGTATTTAATTAAAAAGCAAGAGGAACCAATTTGAAGAAAAGCAGTTAAAATTTCCAAGTTTTACCTGCTCCAACAGTGAGTGAACACAAGGGACATTTTAAATGTGTAAAGGTGCAAGAACAGTTGCATCCCTGGAAAATCTCCTAACCAAACTCTATGGGGCTGATTCCACTCTCAATCTCTTCTTGCTCTCACCAAAGGTTAACCACCAGTCTGACTTTACTAGTATTTTCTTACTTTTAAAGTAAGGCAGGCAGGGTGCAGTGGCTCACGCCTCTAATCCCAGCACTTCCGACGTGGGTGGGTCATGAGGTCAAGAGAGCTAGACCATCCTGGCCAACATGGTGAAACTTCATCTCTACTAAAAGTTAAGAAATTAGCTGGGTGTGGAGTAGCTGGTGGCTCCCACCTACTCGGGAGGGTGCGGCAGGAGAATCGTTTGAACCCAGGAGGCGGAGGTTGCAGTGAGCCGAAATACTGTCATTGTACTCCAGCCCGGTGACAAAGCAAGACTGTCAAAAAAAACCCAAAAAACAAAAAAACCTCTAATGCCTAAAGTATAACCATAGACATTAGAGTATTTCCAGAAAAATAAATGTGAGGCATTTAAAGTGTTTTTGTAGATAAGTTCCCCTTCTACTGTATTAAAGTTTATCTGTTGAAGAATCCAGGGTATTGACCAGTAGTTTCCTTGTCTGTATTTTCCAGGATACTCTTAGTACAATTTCCCTATATTCTTCTGTAATTCCTGATATTGGAAGCTGGGACCAAAGGCTTTTTCAGCCTCATATGCAATCTTTTGGCAAGACTACCTTGTCCTGCAAGTGGCAATACCTTTTTGTGGTGTTATTGATGCTTCAACAATACAATTTCTCTCTAGGTGGTATGATGTGGTTTCTCGAGCAATGCTTTTACCATATTATGCAGACTCTTGTTAGAAATCCTAGTAACAGTCCCTCAGTTCTTGCATGCAGCGGGTGGCTGGCATCCTTTTGCAGCTGTACAACAATTTCAATGGGTAAAATAAAATCCTTGATCACATTTCTTGCCTTGTTACTACCTTTACTTCTAGAAGGTTTTCTAGTTGTCAGGGGATTATTCCAAAGTGGAAATCTTGGCCAGGCATGGTGGTTCATGCCTGTAATACTATCACTTTTGGAGGCCAAGTGGATGGATCACATGTGGCCAGGAGTTCAAGACCAGCCTGGCCAACATGGCAAAACCCCATCTCTACTAAAAGTACAAAGATTAGACGAGCGAGGTGGCACATGCCTGTAATCCCAGCTACTTGGGAGGCTGACACATGAGAATTGCTTGAGCCGGGATTCAAAGGTTGGTTGCAGCAAGCTAAGACGGGGTCACTGCATTCGAGCCCGGAACTCTGCCTCAAAAACAAACAAAAACAGCGTAAATCTTGCTTACAAAATCCTATCTGTTACTGTAAAGAGGGTTTTTCTTTTAGAGCAACTCAGTTTTTTCTAAGAATTTTGGTGTTTTATCAACTAGGGAAAAAAAAAGGAAGCAACCTTAAGTTTAAGGCTTTATAAATATAAATAAATATAACATCAGTCATATTTACACTGTCTCATTGGTCATAAGGCTGTCTCGTTGGACATAAAGGTTTACATTTTGGAGTAATCCTGTGAAGAGTAGATAGGACAATTCAAATTCTCCTAGCTTTTTAAGGAAGTAGTAGCAGGGGCCGGGCACAGTGGCTCATGCCTGTAATTCCAGCACTTTGGAAGACTGAAGCAGGCGTATCACTTGAGGTCAGTAGCTCCAGACCACCGTGGCCAACATGGTGAAACCCCACCTCTACTAAAAATTCAAACATCAGCCGGGCGCGGTGGCTCAAGCCTGTAATCCCAGCACTGTGGGAGGCTGAGGCGGGTGGATCACGAGGTCAAGAGATCGGGACCATCCTGGTCAACAGGGTGAAACCCCATCTCTACTAAAAATACAAAAAATTAGCTGGGCATGGTGGCGTGTGCCTGTAATCCCAGCTGCTCAGGAGGCTGTGATTCAAACATCAGTCAGCTGTGGGGGCCTGTGCCTATAATGCCAGCTCCTTGGGAGTCTGAGGAAGGAGAATCGCTTGAACCCAGGAGGCGGAGGCTGCAGTGAGTCGAGATC